ATAATAATAATCTTTGCATTTTATATATTGACATCTAAAAATACTTAACAGGATTTACTGTAAAATGTAGTGACTTTTTTTAGCTGAAAACAGTAGCCAATTTGCACGTACCATTGCCTTACAGACAGCCACCAAGTGAATGACCAATTTTATTTGGGGAATTGTTAGCCAGGACAAACATACTTCTCTTTTCTAATAGTGCCATGGAATCTTTAACATCACTTCACCAGGCAGATGGGAGATTGGTTTAGTATCTCATCTGAAGAATGACACCTCCAACAATACAGAGGTCAACCCCAGCACTGCACTGGAGTATCATACCACCGTGGCAGTTCAAAAGCCCAATGGAGGTTTTGAACCCACAACCTTCTGGCTCACAGGCAACTAAGCCAAGTTGACACCATTGTGAACCAAAAGTAAGAGAAGCAGAAAACTAGGAAAAGAGAAAGAGAAGAAATAAGTACTGTGAATTGAAGGTAAAAGGAGCTAGAGTGCATTGCGGGATGGAATGTAGACTATGATTTTATTCCTTTTCTTGCTTTTAATCAACTCCTTGTTTTGTTTTCACTCTTAACTCTACTGAAATGAGCTTCAGGGCCATTTGAAGATTGAAGGTCCTTTTTCAGAGTATGCCATTGTTTAATTCAATTGAGATCAGCTCTGAAAATTCAGCGCGAAGTGAGTAGTATTTTAACAGGAAATAGAATATACCAGTGTGTATGTTATTACACTTCCCTCCATCTTCATTCATGGCTTGATTGTAAACTAGCTCCAAGCTCTTTGACAAACTGCAGACCGTGCTCACAGCCCATTACCTGGAGACTCATTCGTGTTGAAATACTCTTTAGCAGATTAACACACAAATGCTAGACAAATATCAAGCATGACAGGAAGGAGAACACTAAATAAGATCCACAAATATGTGCAGCTCTCTAAAGGTTGTGGCCTGGTGAAGATTAACTTTCGAAACTTTTGCTACGGTTCTCTCTTCCCCTGTTTCCGTTGGGAGTTTGCTGGAGACATTTCACTATAAGAATCATTCCTTTTGGGCTGCATCATGCACCATGCAGAGTGGTGACATTTCAATGTAAAATTGCCTTTTTTATTATCGCTGTGTTAACATTTATCTCTGATAATTAAGCAGCAGAGAATATTTCCACTTCGAATCAAATGCCGGGTGGTAATTTGACTGCATTTGTACTTGATAATTGTATTACAGCTCCTAATATGATACGATTATGCCGGATACATTTACGGTGAAATTTGAAAGGCCTGGTTGCCAGGGCAACCCTAGATACAATTACCTGTACATGCCACAGAATGCTTCATGCAGTCTGAATGTTTTTCGCACCTTAATTGTTCACATATAGATAATGACAAATTAATTTAAAGCCTGCAACTGCAGTTATTGAATTGGAACCACGCCTGATTTGTTCTCAATTAGCTAACGCTCTCAATAAGGACGCTTTGTGTTCTGGCATCCGTTGCTGTCGGGGTCTTATTGGCAGCGTTTTACTGCTTCCACTGCTGGCGGTGCATTTGCCAATGTTGGCAGCAAATGTGTAATATTCCCTGATTGTCAGTAGATTCAAGCCCCTGGCTTCTCATTCTATGATGAGAAAATCTTGTGCTGGATCTCGTCTGAGATATATATTTTCATGGTAAAATCGTAAATGTAATTGGACGCTTTCTTCAGGAGCTATAGAGGGGTTGCAGAGGAGATTGACCAGGATGATACCAGGGATGAGTGGTTTGACCGATGAGCAGAGACAAGAGGAACTGAGACTGTTTTCATTGGAGCAGAGAAGGTTGAGGGTTGATCTGATAGAGGTCTTTATGTTATGAGTGGTTTCAATAGAGTCAATAAGGAGAAATTCTCTCTACGGGTCAATGAGTCACTGACTAGAGGGCATCAATTCAAGATAGTTACCAAGAGAGAAAGTGGAAGAGATTAGGAGAATTTTTTTTACACAGAGAATTGTTAGGATTTGAAATGCACTGCTGGGTGTAGTGGTTGAGGCATAATCCATATTAGGTTTTAAGAGGAACAGATAGACTCTAAAAAGTAATACAATGGAGATTCATTGAGATCTATAAAGTCCCAGCCTGTGTTGCGGTGAATTGCAATAGCAGGTTTGAATGTGCAACGTGGGATTTAAAAACAGTTAGAGAGGTATCCGACAAGACAGAAGAGTAGAGGAAGGGAGTTCCATAGGTTAGGAAAGTAGAATTTGACGCAGAGATTTATTAAAATTTGGAATGCTTTTTCACTAATGACATCTGGAACAACATCCATAACAACATTTAAAAGGCAATTAAATAAATACTTGAGAAAAATAATATTAGCGTGAACAGGAAAAGACCAGGGGAATTGGATTAAAGTAGTACAGGAAAATCTAATTATAACAAAGTTGGTTGTGTCCAATATCTCAGGGTCCACATAATAAGTGAGGTGGGAGAAAAATGTTCAATTTCCTGGCCATCTAGTCACTGCTGCTGCCCAGTGTGAGGGGCACTAGATAAATGCAAATTGTTGTTGTTGATGTTATTTTCTGCGCAGCCAGCAGGAAGTTACGTCACTGGCAATCTAACAACTAACAGGGCTATTTTGTAGTGGGAGAAGACAGCATGTCAACATCGGAAGCCAGATATACCGTACATCCAGTTAGCACAGGTCTACTGTATTCCCAGTTCTAAATGAAGCAGTTCTAAATAAATCCTTCAAAAAAAAAGAAAGAAATTGGTCAGTCACTCATTCCACGACTGTTCGCGGGACACTGCTGTCCGCAATTGACTGCTGGTTTTCGCCCACAAAATGTACAGTGTATTTGCTTTACAGTATATTCTGTGAAGCACTTTGAGACGTCTGAAGACGTGATAAGGCGTTATATCAGAAGCAAGGATTACTATTATTATTGTATCGAAGGGTTGTATAAAGGGATTTCCCTGTAGCTCCAGTGGAAGTGGGAGCATCAGCACAGATATTGTGGATTGAATGGCCTCTTTATGTGCTGCAAGATTTCTGTGATTCTATTTAGTTTCTATTCCAACTCAATTATAGAATTCATTATTTACTTATTGATTTATCCAATGATTTGATTGCTTATGTGTTTATTAATTCATCTCCTCAAAGCACAGTAGTTGATGGATTAACCTCTTGTGAAATCTGACTGAATTCATATTTATTCAGCTAGTTTATTGCAGTTGCACAGTAACTTCAATATTTGTTAACAATTATTAATGAGTCATGTTCTGGGTGACAACTTTTGGCAAGGGCATTTGCTGGCATATAAAAACATAGGCCCTGAAATACAGTGTGCAGAGCAGATATGGGGGTGGGGGTGGCTAAAAGTTTTGAGCTGGCTGGCATCAGCTAACTCAGACAGACCAGAGATCAGATTCTTAATGGTCTGAATAGATATCACTGCATTAATCTATCAACGGAATCTCTCCTCACTTTGCCCACTTGATTGAATCATGTTAAACTGTTTTCCTGAAATTTCTCATGGCTTTACATTGTTTTCCAGCACTATTGAATCCTGCACCCGAATTAATACTAAATGTAGGAATTTTATAAAATTCTGCACCAAATTAAATTCTATGGCAGTAGTTTTAAGGCTAAGAACATAGGAAAGATGGAACCTCAGACGTTTAGGCTACTACTCACCTTCTGAGCAAGGGGTAACAGGACTAGAGAATGCTTACTACCTTCATCTATGACATATACATAGAATAACCCTGGAAACTTGGCACTTTAATGGCTGCAGCGCAAGCAAACTGAATCAATGGTGGGGGAGGAGTCTATATTTTATTGATCCATGAAAATAGTGGTATGTTCAAAGAAAGAAAATTACTTATGAATGTGCAAGTAAATGTCAGTTACACTTTGCTAAAATGAAAATGGATAAAAAGCACAGTTGAACATGACAAAACAGTCTGAAACAAGCTTGTATGGATTTTATCAAGCACTTCTGTAACACAGGGATTAGATTTGGGACTTGCTTAATACCTCCACAATGCACAAATATCTCATGATCCCTTTTTTCTGTGTAAAATCATTTTCCCTTCAGTGTCCAAAGTTAGCAATAATGGCAAGCTTACAGTCACCTCAATGTCAGAATTCTGCTTTGGTTGCCTGCAAAATACACAGTCACTACATTTTACAGTATATCCTGTGAAGTACTTTGAGACGTCCTCCTGACATAAGAGGTGCTTTATTAGAATTACTATTTGAACCAGTGTCTACATTCTTAACAAGACTTCAATGCTAAACATCTGGAATTCAATACTTGTAGTGCATTTTAGGAGAATGAATGGCAATTCCATTCCTTCCATTATACACTCAAACCTCTGTAATTATACACCACGTTGGGCAAAACAACTTTATTAATATTGTAAAATATATTCAGTAGATCGACAACAGATGAAAGAATTTGATCAGATAGATGACTACTTACTAAAGGTAATGGGCGTAATTGCACCTCAGGGTTCAATGAATGAATGCTTGCAGCAGTAATGTAGACATTCTCATCTGGCAGGTTACACAGACGACGAGCATTTCATTTCCCATTCAAAAAGGTCTCATTAGGTCACTTTACTGATAGTACATCAGAAATATTACAAGACAGGTACAAGAGGTCAATTAATTTGTCCCCTTTCAGTTCAGTGCAAGTCAACAGAAGGAAATTAAATTTCATAGCTGATGAGCCCAGTAGAAAAATGTAAGCATTTCTGCAATAGAGCTCACATAACAATGATTGCAACACAACAGAAGACAGATAACAATCATTACAGTACTATAGGCTGAAATAAATAAAATAAATTAACTCTAGTGTACCAGATGTCATAGAGATATAAACGTGTGAATACAGAATATGCGGTTACTGCAAATAATGAAATTGCCTCAACATTATTGGTCTTAGAAAGCACTCTCGGGTTTAACAGGATTTTTGAGTTATCTGTTATTAAACTAATGTTCAATTGTATTTTTCCCCCAACAGAAATATACCTCTTGCTATCTGCATATCAATGACAATTGTCACCATTGCCTATGTGTTAACAAATGTGGCCTATTTTACCGTAATGAATCCTCAGGAGTTGCTGGCATCTGAAGCAGTGGCTGTGGTACGTAATATAAGGGTAAAAAATAAGATGTTTCTCAAGGGATTTGATGTGATAATTATCATATTGAATCTGTTGTGAAACACTGCATTTTTGGCTCCATAAACTTTAAGAAGTGAAATGCACGTGAAAGAACCTAATAGTGTTTCAGAATGTGAGAGATGCTTTTGTTTACAATTGACCGCAAAACAACTACATTACCGTTATTGCACTGAAGTAGCTTTCAACCACAGATGGAAGGTGGCTAGGAAAATTAGGCTGTTTTCAAAATATTATGATTGCTTGCAACATTATGATTTGCTGAAATGGGCTGCAATCCAACAAACAGTGCAGTGTGATTTCTGTGGGAGCAAATCCTAAGGATTTAGTCCATTGACTTAATATAATAATCCTCAACATTTCAAATGAGAGAAATGTGGAATTCAGATGACAGAGAGGGCTACAGGAGTTATTCCTCACACAAGGGCTTACCAAACACAACATTGTTCTTTAAGAGGATGTACGGAACTAAGATGATCACTGTAGCACCTTATTACATCAAAACATTAGAGGCCTGAAAAAAAAATCCACTTAGTTCTAACCTGTAAGGATATTTTGTCTTGAAATCACATTTCCCTTCATTCTCCCTCTCCTCACCCCACCCCCTCCCTCCGATCATATAGAATTGTGATAAATTCTTAATTTAGATCCCAATTTTCTTAACTATTTCCTAAGAAAAAACATCTTTCAAACTCAGACAGCAATTATTTAGGAATTTTCCACAAGTAATTTTAAGGGAGTTTGATGTTATAGGCTGAAGCTAAGTGGAATTTGGGGCATCGGGGCTGAGCACTCCCACATCAGGTAGAGTATTGAAAGATGTTTCCTCTATTGTGCCTCAATAATGTGCTTTGACCTGAGCCTCACTATTGTATCAGTCTGAATCTTCCACCTTCCTCATCCAGCAAGCTAGCTCTATGGCCTCTCTGACATTTACAATTTAAGACAATTCTGTACTGTACTCCAGTTCACTAAAAGTATAGACCTCTCCTCTTCAAAACTCATTTCACATAGAGCTCTTATAACCTAAATGGAAGAGTAAATGGAAGAGGCTTTCATCATGCCATCCGGGCTGCATTCAAATCTAAATCTCAGAATTGAATGGACAGTGTGCAAACACTCTGTGTTACCCATTTCACAGACGACAAGACCCGAATGGTCTTCTGTGCTGTAAATTTCTAATTTCTATCAGGAGTAGTTTAAAATATTCTACAGTGAAACAACCAAAGTCTAATTTTAAAAAAAAAAGTCCGAAGCTCCAAACCTCTGATCAACAATCTGTTCTTCGTGGGCCACTGCAATCCTGTGAATTTCATTCTTTATTCCTGCCAAGGAAATTTTCAAGGCCGAAAGAAAAGAAACATTTTCTTTCAAATGTATTGCTCTCATGAGAAAGGTCTCAATAAATTGCTCGGAACGTTATCACACGTGAGCTCTCAGGTCATCCTCGTTGAATCAGCGCTGTCCTCCTTTGTCCTCTGAGCTCTTATTTGCATAATTAATGTTTGCAATAATTATAAAGTGGGAAATTTAGTTAGAATCAGGCAAACACAGAACTGCGTGGTTGTTTAGCAAGCAACAGCTTAGCTTTTGGAAAGGTGAGAATTCGGTTATTGGAGTTTAAAAACAGTTTGAATGCCAAAAGTCCATTCTCATTAGCATGTTACCTATAAAATACAGTCATTGCACTTCAGCATTTATCCTGTGAAGTGATTTGAGACATGCTCTCCACTTAAAGATGCTATATCACAAGTAAGGATTAGTATCTCTTTCTGAAAAAATGCCTCGGTACATAAAGTGCATCTCCAGCAGGGAGCTCCATATATGTATGTCACATTGACAGATGAGAATTCTGTACCAATGCAGTCTTGAGTCAGAGTCAAGGTCTGACACGGGTCTGCAGGAGGTACATGAAGTTCTCTGGAGATGCACTTCATGTCACGAGACACATATATCTTTGTGAGGTACGTTTACAATTCAAAAGCTTTTTCAATCCCTCCCTCTTTATCAGCAGAACAAGAATAATCAACTGAACTACTCCTTCATCTTTAGCATTTATAGACATTCCCGACTGTTACCAGGGGTTTCATGACTTGTTTGTATTTATTTACAATGGTTATCTGGATGGAATAATTATTTTCTATGTTTTGTTTTGAAATGTAGAAAATTGCCTTCTGGTTGCAATTGCTTTGCAGATGAATACATTTAGGATTGTGTTATTGTACCTGCATTCAGTAAGTAATTTAATAGATCACCATATGTGACATATTTGATTATAACCACAATTCAATTTCACAGACCTTTGCAGAACGGTTATTGGGAAAATTCTTTATAGCAGTCCCAGTATTTGTGGCTCTTTCCTGCTTTGGGTCCATGAATGGAGGCATCTTTGCAGTGACCAGGTGAGCACTAGCAATCACTTTGCAAACTATTGAAGACTAAACATCATACAGTTTGGGACATGATATATGCAAGCGACTGCCAGGATGGCGGAAGTTGAACTGGATGGACTTTGGTCTTCTTTCGTCTAGCAATTCTTATGTTCTTATGTAAGACCAGTCATTGGACCATAAGTTAATCTTCTCCCACCTTCAGTTTAAGTTTCTGGACAAGAGAGAATGTTGTTTTGAATGGTTCCCACAATTGCCCAGCAAATGTACTTTGAAGTGTCCTCCCACGCGAAAGCCGTTATACCAAATGTAAGGATTGTTATTTTTATTATTATTATGATGATTTATCATAATTTATCATTGAAATTATGATTTTAGGCATTAAAACTTTGTTTGAAATTGAAGTTTCCTTCATAGGACCAATTTGCAGAAGCCAAGGAGAGGAAATGGAGGTGTGGGGTGANGGGGGGGGGAATTATGATAATTAGCCCAAGGAATGTATCCTGAAACATCAGACATTTCACCCTGTTTGTGCCAAAACAAAAGTAGGCATTTGGAAAATTGTATAATTATTTAACTGTAGCAGAGGTCCAGCCTTGGGCAGAATCTTATTCAGGGCCTTAAAAATGTATCATTCAATTCTGAACTATTCTGACTTAGCATTGTCAGGGTTTTTACAATTCAGATATTTTGTCAATGCCACAATGACTTAATAGACAGTCGGGTACCTGAATCAATTCAATATACTGTCAAAGAAGAGCAGCATTAGCAAAGGTAATGCAGTGATATATGCAGTCAATTCACTATATAGTATATTCTGTGAAGCACTTTGAGACGTCTCGAAGATGTGATAAGGCACTATAACAAATGCAATTACTTATTGGTATTAATCTATCTAACCAGGTGGGTTATATTAGTTCAATTACGCTGGAAAATATCCTATCCATCTTGTTCTACCCTGTGAGAAAACATCTTCTAATGACAGAATTTTATAATGTCTTTGAAATGACTCGAGGACTAAGGGGAAATCAGTTGTTCCTTCAAATGGAAGCATACAAATCAAATTAGCATTTCTCTTTTAAATAACTAAATAAAATCCCTCCACATAACTGGCAGCAGAAAATAAAATTATGTTATGTAGATTTATTGGGGTTTGAGTCATTCATTGTATATTACCTAAATGTGAGCGAGACAGACAGAGAGGGAGACAATTGCTTGCACATGTTCTGAATTTTAGTGGCTCAGTTGGTAGCAATCTTGCCGCTGGGTCAGAAGCCCCACATCAGGGATTCTGAGCTCACAGTCTAAGCCGACATTGTAATATCATGTTTGGGGAGTGCTGTATTGTTTGAGATGCTTTCTTTTGGATGAAATGTTAAACAGAGTTCTTTTCTGCCTGTAAGAAATCTTCATGCTCTTCGAAAAGAGAAGGGAGTTTCTTCTAGTGTGAATTGGTCATTCACTTCCTAGCTGTTTGTGGGACAATGCTGTGTGTAAATTGGCTACCCCGTTATAATAATTACAGTAAAGTGCTTGTGATATTGTGGATTTGGGCTCTAAGTCAAATCCAAAGATTTTTAATACAAAACAATTATGTTGAAAAGAAAAGCAGCCACGGTGCTAAATTCTAGCAAACACTTGGATTGGATTTGAATTTAGTGTTTGCAGTGAGCCTGCAGGTCTTGTAAGCTGATGTTTGTTGGTAATGAAAAGTGTGCAAAATACTGGTACAGTGCTTATACCTAACCAACTATATGTGACTTATCTAAACAGAATGTATTATGTTGCTTCTCGGGAGGGCCATCTTCCAGAAATCCTCTCCATGATCAATGTCCGAAAACATACTCCTCTTCCCGCTGTCATTGTTTCGGTAAGAAAACAACTTGCAAGTGTTTCGAGATCGTCTCATCCACCGCTTTATATCTTTTTCATTTGCATAAAACAGTCTTTCATGCCTCCCTGGCACTAACGCACTGTGACAATTATCACATGTAAGCCAGTGGGCTTTAATGTTGTGCCAATACATTTTTTGTGCGATAATCTTAATTTACCAACTCAAATTGCTCCTACTAATTACCACCACAATTGGCAGTCATGCCACAGACCAGATCAAAATGTTCTCTCCTGACACAAGGACAAAATCTATAATCTATAATTTTCGGATGAGTATTTTTCACATTTCAAATGTACATTAGCACTAAGATTTCCCACACTCACTCTTATGCTTTACTGAATTCCTGCTGCATTGGAAACTGGTTATTAAGCACCACCTGCTAAATATTGTGCACATTTAAAGTTGTGTTAATGTTAGTGCAACATGGTTAGAGTTTAGAAATAGGGAAGGGGAAGAGGGGAGATAAACCTCAGGAATCGAGCAATAACTCACTTGCAGAGCCTGCTGCCTAGTCATCTGACTCTTCATTCAGCAGAGTCACCAGTGACCTTCATGTGTCCTCTCTGTTGCACTGGGATCTGCTCCTCACCGTTGGAAAGAACAATGGGAACAGATCATCAACAAAATAGTAGCTAATTCTTCAATTAAATTCTTCAATCAGCTAATGCAGGCTTGAACTGTCAAGCACTAAGCCGCTCACCTGTCGAACTCCTCGTCTCTGTCGCTCCACCTCATCCCCTCTCTATTGGTCTTTAGAATCACACCTTTAGATCTAACTCTTCAATTATACTTACGGTCAAGTACCTATGTTTGCATCCAACCCTGCCACTATGAAGCGCTCCGAAACACTACATAAATGCAAGTTGTTGCTGTTGTTCAATCTTGCTGTGCGATTGATATGAATCAACATTTTTAAATTTGTATCTTTCACAGTATCCTTTGACAGTGTTATTGATGTTTATGAGTGATATCTACAGTCTTTTAAACTTCTTGAGCTTTGCCCGGTGGCTTTTCATTGGTCTGTCTGTTTCTGGTCTGATTTACCTCCGGTACAAGCGCCCAGACATGCCGCGCCCATTCAAGGTAATGTCCATCACCAGTTATTCTGTAGAGTGATTCTTGAGAAGATAATAATAATAATAATAATAATAATAATAATAAACCTTGTATTTGATATAGCGCCTTATCATGTCTTTGAGACGTCTTAAGATGAAAGAAAGGAAATGAATATTTGAACATTACAGAGGTGATTTTCTGACCATCCGTGAATTTGGCAACTTTGAAAATGTCAACTTATAATGGGGGGGAAATCACCTTCTGTACCTTTGCCTTTCTTTACATGTTGGAAGATATTAATTATGTGTATCACTGTAGAGTGTCTAAAGTGTTCCTGGACAGCTTGCAGGAATGGGTCGATTGCCTCATCGCTGTTGGTTGTACATTGCTGGTGACTACTCTCATGGGTCCAGTGTGCGATTGTGAGGGATAGGGCCACAGGCAACAACGTCATTGGGTACCTGGCCCACATGGTCATTCCTTCATGTATGGCCCTGGAGACTGAGCATTGATGGACTCTGTGACACCATAGCTGAGCCTCAACTGGATCTCACTCAACATCCATGTCGGGGGGGAGGAGGGAAGGAGTCAAGGGATAATAGTCATTAGAGGGAACCCTGGCTGGCTTTCCCCCCCTTGCAGTCCAGGAACGCTGAAGCCAATCATTGTGCACTCTCCACAACCACAGATGAGGTCATTTAAGACCCGGACTTGAACCTGGGATTTTCCCTCACTCCAGATGCACACCAGTGATCAGATACATTTAGCTCCTAATGTCATCATAGGAGAAAGTTGCATTGTTTTTGACTGACGTCATTGGTATCAGAATGAAAATACACCCTTCTCTCAGCTGGGGCAGAATTGGGTAAAAATTCCATTCAGTATTACATCAGCCCATTCTATAATGCAAAGCTATACGTGGCCAATATACATAACGTTGAACAGTATTTTTACCCTAATGTAGGCAAATTCATCACCTTTCAGGCTTATCCCTGACTATCTACATAAGCATTTGTTTTTGTGTCACGGGTCATGTTTCATCTTGAACAATGTGAATGCAAATACTGATAATTTCAGGCCATTTGAAAGTAAAAGATTTTTTTCTGACACAGAGCAACAGAGCAATGGATTTGTCAAATGTCCATTGGAAGCAAAAATGCCTCATTATGACCAAACCTTTATTGACCTATGACAAAAAGGCAACTGGGTGACAAATCTGTGGTCTCAACAGCACCAACAAGCGCAGGCAATATCACATTATGAAAAGAACACACTGGCATGGCTTGAGGCATTGCAATCACTCAGCATTGTAACTCCTTCCCAGCAGCAAAGTGCTAAAAGGCCACACAGTAAAGACAGAAATGAAATAATCACATTCAATTTTACAGCGCTTTTAAAAATGCTAGCACACATCATTTCATGCAGGATATTTTTAAAAATGCAAATGGATACACAGCGGTGTAGTAAATTACATGGGCTGCTTTTCCTGCTGAACATTTTACCCCCTGAGACTACTCAGTAGTATGATTGACAGCTCTCCTGGGATTGGAGTCCTTTTCCTCCTTAAAATAGATGTATTTAAGTAATTAATTATTTATATATAAAAATATGCTTTTTCAACAAAAAAACAGTCATTTGGGGTAATTTAACACGAAATGGACGAAGTCGAGTTGCTGAAATCTTGCAAAAGTGCTCAGTTAGCTCTAAATGATAGAGAGAGAGCAGCTAACTTAACATCAAAACACATGAAGACCCAATGCAGTCATCAGTTGAGCTGACACCGCCACACCATGCCAATCCCAGTTCACAAAGGCTCCATGCGAGACCGAATGACAATTTTTTTGCACTGATCAATCATCCTCTAAACAAAAAGCTCATTCATGTCAGATACTACTTACTTTGCACATAACCTAAGACTGGCAGTGTTCCAAGGAAAACACATTTTCTCTCAAATTACCTTATAAAATAGCATGGCGCCACTCGCCTGATTGTAGTTAAAGTGCATGTTGCTTTCCTCAAATGTGGCTCATTTCATATTTCGCCTTTTGCCTACGAGGGTGGTGCAGAGCAGATTTCTAACAAAAGCCTCATTCAAGTTCCATTGAATTATTATTGTGCTGAGTGATGGATATGGAATAACATATCACTGTGAGTGTGCTGTAAGACAGTAACACGTCCAGATGTTCTGGCCATAAACTGCACAGCAGAGCTCAAAATGTTCATCAATGCCACCTGAACCACAGGATTTTCATTGCCTTGAACTGAACTCTCATAGGGATTTTGTTTTAATTCTTTGGCGGTCTGACTTCTCCTGAATTAACCTGCTTTATGCCTGGGTTCCGTGTTATACTTCACTTACAGCTTATTAAACTAAATGGTGCTCCTTTCATAAAATAAATGGTGGTCTAATGCTGTATGCTGCATACTTTCTGGCCCCATATCAGTCTGCATTTTCAAAAGTAAAGAGGTGGACAGCTTAAATTTAGTGGCGTCCACAAAACAGACATAAAAGTTGAGTTAAGTCCGCCTTTCCCTAGCTGCCACAGAAATGCTGGTATCAGAGCACCGGCAGGAATCGCCTGCTGGTTGGCTCAATAACTGCAAGCTTTTGGGGCAGAACCATTCGAACCAAGTTGGGTTTGCTCACATGGCTATCAGCTGGGACATCTGGGAGAGGAGCTAGCTACATAAGGGTAAATTGTGTTGCATTGCATTGTATTGAAGGAGTGGAATGCCGTACATTGTGACATTTATTACATATAAGTTTTCCAAGCCTAAATCCCGCAGAAGTACTTGCAGGATAGCTTTATTATAGGAAAAATGTGGTCTGAAGTGGAGCTTGTTCTTGTTAGATCTGCCCTCAAGGATAGCAACTTGTATTGTTCGTACAGCAAAAGCTTAACCAAGTTTAACCAGATTCTTTCGGTGTTTGTGATGTTTGAATATTACCATACATCAGATCTGCCTTATTTCTAACAAACTCTGCTTGTTGTTGCAGGTCCCTCTGTTTATTCCCACTTTCTTTTCTTTCACCTGCCTCTTCATCGTAGCGCTGTCACTTTACGCTGACCCCACCAATGCTGGCATTGGATTTGCCATCACGCTGACTGGAATCCCTGCCTACTACCTATTTGTAGTGTGGGACAGCAAGCCAAAGTGCTTCCAAAAATTGATGGGTAAGTAATATAAAGCATTCATCCGCCCATAACATAAGCCTGTGTTTCTACTCTATACTACAGGAGAGCCCTGTTGAAGTGCCCTTCAATATAACACTGCCTCACTTTTTTCAATAAAATTTATTTATTGGTATAAAATATACTTACACTTGTCTCATAAATAACAAACTCGTAACAGCAAAAAAAACACAACTCTTCCGTAACCCATTACAAAATTCCCCTTGTAGCAGAGCCCTATTTCTTTGCGCTCATAATACTGCCTCACTCATAGCACAGGTCAGCTGTAGTCTTATGCTAACTGGAAACATGCTGCACCAGCTTCAAGTTAAAAATAAATGGCTGACTTCTGGGTCATCAGGACACTCAGGATGTCACTTCCTGCACATTGCACCCTACTACATTAGCATCACTTCCTACACTCCAAGCATGCATGCCTGTGTAAGAAGCCCCGCTTCTTTACTTTGCATAAGAAGGGGCATTGGCAGTACTTCCTGTGCATAATCTGTATGCGCTCAATGCAAATGAAGTGATATCAGCAACGACCAGATATCAATCCAGATTTCAACCGCTGAAACATTTGAACCAACTGAATGTCCCTATATTAAGTTTATCCTGTATTTAATAATAATAATCCTTGCATTTGATAGTAGCACCTTATCACATCATTGAGACGTCTCAAAGCGCTTCACAGGATGTACTATAAAGTGTAGTGACTGTGTATTTTGTGGGCGAAATGGGGCAGCCAATTGCGCACAGCAGTGTCTCACAAACAGTCATGGAGTGAGCAACCAATTTTATTTGGGGAATTACTGGCCAGGACACTGGGAGAGAGAAACTTCCTTCTCTGTTAGAAATAATTTAGAATGTACTATTAATCATGCAATTTCTGGTTCCTTCAATGCCCTAGTGGGTAAAGGCATTATCCTGCTTAGTGGATGTATATACTTATGTTTTTTTAAGTTATAGTGAGAATATATGTCATCTGTCTAATAGTATTGTGGTTATACATACCTGTATGCCTAATGGTATAATAATAATAATAATAATCCTTGCATTTGATATAGCGCTTTTCATGCCGGGAGGACGTCCCAAAGCGCTTCACAGAACACACTGTAAAGTGAATTGACGGTATATTTGTGGGCGAACGCGGCAGCCAATTGCGCACAGCAATGTCCACAAACAATCGTAGATTGAAAATGACCTATTTTTTATTTTTGTTTTTGGTTTTTGGAGGGATTATTATTAGGCGTGTGGAGTAAGGAAACTTTCCCAAGGTTTCGCCCTCTGCCTGGAATTGAACTCAGGTCTCTAGCTTGCAAAGCGAGTGCTCTAACCACTGAGCTACAGGACTCCACGAATATATGCTTGTGTGACTCCTTGGTATTGTGGATCTATGCACCTGCGATTCTTATGCTATAGTGAATGCATACATAGTGTTTGAATGGTATAACAGCTGCATAAACCTTGGTTTTAGTAGTGTAGTAAATATGTATATATATATATATATGTGTGTGTGTATTTCTATTGGTTTAGTGGCTGTACATAGCTATATTTCTTGAATACATATAATTTATCTCAGCCATAATATCTGGTGATATAAAAACAACAAATTACATTTGTTTAGTGCCTTTCACGTCGGGAGGACATTCCAAGGCGCTGATGAATAGCGATGAGTATTCATTAAGGAAAGAATCAGAAGGACTTTCATCAGAGTCATTAGAAACCAGTTACACTTTTGAGAACATAGGAATATCTAGCATTTCCAATGTTTTTCCAATTAAACTTTAAACAAACATTACGAGTATGAGTTATATTTTATGACTGATTACTTTTGCGGATGAAACATAATTTGCTTGATTCAGCTCATGCTCCCAAGTTCTGCTGTTGCCATAAAGGCACATTTTCTAACCTGACATTTAATCCATTGATACAAATCACTTCAGAGACCCATTGTTCCTCTGCTGTATGATTGTTTCTCTTGTGTGGGTTCAAGGCAGTTAACACAGCATCACTCATAGTGGAACAGTGCAGTCCTATTAAATGCTAACTTTGTGACTTGTTCAACATTTATTCAATACCTGAAAATATTTCTAATTATCTGATTGGCTACCTTCCACTCAATGAGTAGTTTAATGGTACTGACAGCTGAAGAGGAGGTACTGGAGTCTGAGACTTCAGCCCGTGCTGTTGCATACAAAATACTCCTTCACTATATACTGAGGGAAACCTGTGTGCTGCGGGAATAACAATCCTTCCATTTCATAGTGCCTGTAACATTGAGAATGTGTCAAAGCACTTCACAAAGTCTCTGTGACGTGCAGTGATCGTGTATTTGTGAGTGAACACGGACACCAATTTGCAAACAGCAAAGTCCCACAAACAGTCATGAGTCATGAGGTGAATGACCAAATTTATCTGGAAGATTGTGGCCCAAGACACTAGGAGAAGTTTCTTTCTCTTTTCAAATAGTACTTTGTGAGCTTTAACATCTATCCAAACAGGGAGAGGGCCTTGAGGTCACTTCTCACAAGGTCATAGGATTGTTTTGGATGAATAAGACTCTTTGGCAATTTGATCTCATCCTTTCAGAATTCCGACTCTACTAGTTGTTTTTTAAATGTTTCAGTAACCTAGCCTCAACTATCATTCCTATCAATCTGTTATCAAGCTGACATTCCAAGACACTACCCTGTGTTAAGAGCACTATATAAATGCAAGTTTGTGTTGTTGTCAAACAGATTAATATAAAAGAGAATTAGAGAATTGTGGAGTCCTGTAGCTCAGTGGTTAGAGCACTCGCTTTGCAAGCTAGAGACCTGAGTTCAATTCCAGGCAGGGCAAAACCTTGGGCAAGTTTCCTTACTCCACACAGAGCCTGATAATAATCCCTCCAAAACAAAACAGTAATAAATTGGTCATTTTCAATCTATGACTGTTTGTGGGACATTGCTGTGTACAATTGGCTGCCGCGTTCGCCCACAAATATACGGTCAATTCACTTTACAGTCTATTCTGTGAAGCGCTTTGAGACGTCTAGAAGAAGTGAAAAGCGCTATATCAAATGCAAGGATTATTATTATTATTAGATAGATGCGTGAAGAAAAGGCACATTAAAAGGCTATGGGGAATGAGAAACAGTGTAGGATTAGATTAGGTAATCATCTTTCCAGTCTGAAAATGATTGGAAAATTGAAAGTGAGCCTGGGTGGGATGATGTGCTAAAACACCAACTAACCCTTCGATTTTTTTAAAAAAACAGCAACAACAACGATGGCCTGGCAGCCGCTGCCACTGCCATCCTGGCCATGACCTGGGAGGCTGAGCCTGAGGGCTGATGCCACCCCGCTGATCGCTCGCTCCCGGTCTCTGCATGCGCGTTTTGGTTGCCGCCCTGACCCCAGCCGCACCCTCCACTCCAAATGTCTCTCCTCCCGTCCCCCTCTATGTCTCTCCTCCCAACCCCCTCTATCCGCTAATCCCCCTCTGTCCTTCTCTTCCACCGCCCTCCCTGCCTTCTCTCTCTCCTCGACCCCATCACCACTTCCCTCAGCTCCAGCCTGGGCATCCTCTGCCGGGCCCATCATGGCTCCCAGCACTGACTGTCCCAGAGCAGCAATCCCACGTGTCCCATCACTCACTCCCTCCGCTCAAACCACCTCCTTAAGGCAAACCCAAGTCCCCCTTCCCTCATACGTAGCCTCCCCAACTCTCCACTCACACCACTCTCCACAACCATCTCTCCTGTACAACCCCATATCCTCTCCGCACCACTCTCTCCTCCCCTCCCTCCAGCAAACCCACCCGCATTTCCCTCCAAATGTCCGTTCCCTTTCAAATAAAATAAAGCCCTCACCATCCACGACCTCATCCTTGGGCTCACCAAAACCTGGCTCTCCCCCAATGACCCCGTCCCCCTGGTGGACCTCCCCTCCAGGCTACATATTCCACCACACCCGCTGTCCAAACCAACATGGCGGCAGAGTCGCCTTCATTTCCAAAGCTTCCCTTGGTCTTAACCCCTACTCCTCTGGCTGCTTCCCCTCCTTCGAGCACCTCACGCTCTTCCACCCCTCTCTTCCATTGAAAATCCTCCTTGTCTACTGCCCCCCCTAAGCCCCCCGGCTCCTTCCACACAGACATCTCTACCTTCCTCTCTTCCCTGCCCTATGCTCTGAGCGCCTGCTCATAATGGGCGATTTCAACCTCCACCTAAACTCCCCTTGCACCACTTCTGCCGATTTCACTGCCCTCCTCTCCTCCCTAAACCTTACCCTTCACATAAATTCACGCACCCACAACCTTGTTCATGCACGTGACCTCGTTATCACCCATGGCCTTGACATTTCCGACCTCAGCATAGTGGACAAGACCATTTCGGACCACTTTTTCATCTCCTTCTCCTCTCACATCCCCCTCTCCTCCACCAAGCCCTCAATCATCCTCTACCGCCCTTGGAAAAGGCTACTCCCTGAGACCCTCACAAAGGCCTTCTCATCATCAAACATCCTATCCCTCTGGCCTTCCACCCACGGAGATCCTGAAGCAGCCGTCCAGCTGCTCCATGATCGCTTCTCTTCCACCTTCAACTCCCTCGTCCCCCTGAAATCCAGGATCATCTTCAAACCCACCCGATCGCCCTGGTAGAACAACCATCTCCGCCGCCAAAAAACCCAAACCCATCTGCTCGAGCGCAGATGACGGAAAACTGACGTGATAGTTCACCGCCATCTGTGGCTCGAGTATCTCCACAGTTACCTTCGTTCTTTGACAGGCGCAAAAATGGCCTTCTACTCCAACATCATCTTGAAGGCTAAACACAACCCTAAAATCCTTTTTTCCACCACCCACTACCTCCTCCGTGCCCCACCTCAGGTCTCCTCAATCTTCGTATCAAATGCCAAGTGCGAGGAGGTCATGAACTTCTTTTCATCTAAAATACTTAACATCCGCCAGGCAGCCTCATCCTCCTGCCTCTTGTCACCCACCACCACACCCTCTCTGTCCCCCTCACCTTCCCCATCATCTGCTCCTACCACCATCCCCATTCTACATTCCTTCCTCCCCATCTCTCCCTCCTCCCTCTCACCCACCATCACCTCCATAAAACCCACCGCCTGCTGCCTCGACCCCCTGCCCACCAACTTACTGGTCACCCAGCTCCCCCTCCTCTGCCCACTACTGGTTGACGTCATCAACTAGTCCCTCTCCTCCGGAACAGTTCCTGCCTCCCACAAAACTGCTGTCATCACCCCCCTCCTGAAAAAACCCTCCCTGGATCCCTCAAACCCCAGCCACTACCGCCCTATTTCTAACCTGCCCTTCCTCTCAAAAATTCTAGAACGCGTTGTTGCCAACCAACTTCGCGCACTCCTCTCCTCCCACTCTCTCTTCAAACCCCTCCAGTCCGGTTTCTGCGCTGCCCACAGTACAGAGACTGCGCTTGTGAAAGTCACAAATGACATCCTCTCTATCTATGACCAGGGCTCCCTCTGCCTCCTTGTCCTCCTGGACTTCTCCGCCTGGTTCGACACAGTCGATCACGCCATCCTCCTCCACCACCTTTCCTCCGTCATCCACCTCAGTGGGGCCGCACTCGCCTGGTTCGAGTCCTACCTCACAAACCGCCAGCAGTACATCTGCACAAACGGCTTCTCCTCCCGCTCTCACCCGGTCACCTGTGGGGTACCCCAAGGATCCATCCTTGGCCCCCTCCTCTTTCTTATCTACATGCTCCCTCTTGGGGATGTCATCCGCAGACATGGGGTACACTTCCACATGTATGCAGACGACACCCAACTCTATTTTTCCACCTCTTTTTGCGACCCCCAGTCCCCTGATGTTCTATCTGCCTGCCTGCCAGATCTCAGGGGCTGAATGAGCGCAAACTTCCTTCAGCTGAACGTTGACAAGACGGAAGCCATACCCTTTGGCTCTCATCAACATCTAAAATCTCACGGCTCTCACCTCGTCCACATACCCGACCTCCCCCTAAAACTCTCCGAACCCGTACGCAACCTAGGCATCAGGTTCGACCCCCAATTATCCTTCCTCCCCCACATCCGGTCTCTCACCAGCACCACCTTCTTCCACCTCCGATGCATCGCTCGTCTCCACCAATACCTCTCCCCAAAAGCCGCTGAAACCCTGGTCCATGCCTTTGTCACCTCTCGGCTGGACTACTCTAACGCTCTCCTCGAGAGTCTCCCATCCACTACCATCCATAAAATCCAAATCATTCAGAACTCTGCCGCTCGCATTCTCACCCGCATGAAACTTCGCTCCCCAATCACCCCAGTCCTTGCCAGACTGCACTCGCTGTCTGTCCCAGCGAGGATCGATTTCAAGTTCCTCACTCTTGTGTTCAAGTCCCTGCACTCGTCTGCACCCCCCTACCTCTCTGACCTCCTCTCTCCTCAAAACAGTACCCGTTGCCTTCGCTCCTCCAGGTCTGACCTCCTTCTTGTCCCCCGAGTCCTCTGCTCCACCCTCGGCGGCCGTGCCTTCAGCCACTATGCCCCGAGGCTCTGGAACTGCCTCACATGTCGCTCCCTCCCTTCCCATTTTCAGGTCTCTGCTGGAGACCTTTCTTTTCGACCGCGCCTTTGGTCACCTTCCTCCCCCTCCCCATGGCTCGGTTCCGGGATCCGTTACTGTGAAGCGCTCTGAGACGCCGTCCAGCGTGGAGGGGGGTTTATAAATCCAAGTTGTTGTTGTTGTAACCTTTCGATTCAAGAACATGTTTGCCAGCAAATAGAAAACTCATAGGACACAGAGGATAGTGAATACAGAATATGATTTACAATATACATGTGAGGAGAATGTCATAGCTAAAATTAAACAGTGAGCTCTGAGGACCTGGGTCTTAAGTTGCTCTATTATTAGTATTTTATAGGATCCAGAAGTTGGTAAATTCTTAAATACAGTCTTAATTTTACAAATCCTTTTAAGAACTACAGAAAACCAACAGATAAGTTTGAATTCAATAATTTACCAATTTCTGCACACTCTGGGTTGTTCTGCATGAAATGTTAAGTAAATAAAGTAGAATAGACCCAAGTCCAATTTCCCTCTCTTAAAGTCCTTTCACTAATGTAGTGTAATGTATAGCTAACAGTTCAGCATGCAACAAATCGTTTTACAGTGTGTGCAATTTGTCCTTGTGGTCCCTCAGTGTGGATCTAAGTGTCATCCTAGCTCAGTTGGTATCACTCTTGTCTCTGAATCAGAAGGCTGTGGTACAAGCCCCAACATGTGGGATGTATGTGCGTGTGCACATGCATAATGTTCTCAACTGACAGACCAAGACCTTGTGCAAACCACTGAGTTATTCCAATTCAGATTATGTTTCATTATCTCTTCAACTGGGAGCTCGTCCCTACCAACAATCACTGGGTGGAAAGTGGGAGATGGAAGTACCATGCTGGTGCAGCCGGTCAGTGTTCAGATCAGTTTTAAAGGTCACAAAAAGGACAACATTTTGGATCTGATGCGCAGTGTGACTGATCAAGGATGCATGGTTTTTTGATGGAAAATACGAATGTTCCTTTCTTTAACCTTATCATTTTCCTACTTTGATGACAACAGATACACAAAGTAGCAAAATTGATCCATTTGAATTATTAGTTGATATCTGTTACATTCAAAAGGTACAATATTGGCAAAGGTTGGTCGAAAGATTACCCAATTGTTAGACTCCTAGGAATAACAGTTCATTGATTTCACCTTTCATTTTCCTCTTACAGCAAGGGTCACCAGAGCATTACAGATCCTTCTGGAGGTAATGCCACCAGAAAATCATGAAGACTAAATGCATCTGCAGATAGGGCTGGTTCCTGACTGTCAGAAGAACTGTGACACTGACACGATCGGCAACTGACCAAATGTGGGACTGCCATTGCAGGCTTACTGCACAATATTTCTCTCCATCACTTAGTAAATAATAATACTGGATCAGACTACGTGTTTACTCCTTTCTGTGTAAGTAATGCACTTAGTCCTTATCATGATGAGCTGGAGGATTGTATTTATTACTGTAAGGAACAATTATTTTCTAAAAATATATGCAAATGTACAGATTCATCATATTTCTGGAAGCAATAAACTATTGAATTGATTTGTATATAATGTAATGCAGTTGTTATAAATGTACAACTGCAACTTATTTTTCTGCTTGTAGATCTTGTAAACAAAATTGGATGTATTATGTCCTAAATAGTGAATTTGTTTACTGTGACCAAAGATTTTCTACTCCATTCAGTGCATTTCTACAAATATGTTCAGGTTGTGAATTACTCGAATACAATTTTAACTTATAAATAACATTATATTACAAATGTAGAATTCCATTCTACTTTTTTAAATTAGCCAAGTTCCTGTGATGACTCAACAAGTTTATCCAGTTCAGAACTGAACCATTAAGACCAGAAAGGTCCCAGATTTAATTCACTGCCTGTGCTAAAGTAACTGATCTCAGCTGGGGTGGCAGCATGGCAGCAGATGTGGCAAACAGTACAGCTCACTGTCCTGAGTGAGGGAGAGGGAATATCTCGTAACTGCCATCTGGCAAGCCCTTGCTGTGAATTTCCAATGAGGGCAGGATTGGATTCAACAGTGATGTCCCCAAGACCAGAGAGCCTGATTGTTCTTACCGTCAGGACTTTCACACTGTGATAAGGCGATAAATCCTGTCTCTGCTTTCTATGGGTATTGGTGCTCCATTTATTTATAAAGGAGCATGTTGGGAGGAGTGCGGGGGGATTTGTGACTCGTTTAAAAAAAAGGGGCCGCTAACAAGGGCTGGACTTCAATCAGGGTTGTTGGAAGTCCAGCTCTAATAATAATAATAATCCTTGCATTTGATCTAGTGCCTTATCACGTCTTCGAGACGTCTCAAAGCGCTTCACAGCATATCCTGTAAAGTGAATTGATTGTATATTTTGTGGAGGGAAAGTGCTAATTGGGCTCCAGCATCCGGTTAATGATTGAGCACCAATGTATAGCTCTAGAGAAAGGAATGGGTAGTTTGGAAAAGATGGTTGTAAAAAGCAATAGCTTCCTTACTTTTTGATGATAGAACCCTTGGTACATGTTTTGTTTTCCGGGCATGACTCAAGCCCCCCTACACACGTGAGGATGCATAAAATAAATAATATTAATGACTATCCTCCTTAAGAAGGAAATTAAGGTCTGTAATCCATTTCCTGAGCTGGGTAGGCCTGCAGTATTCCAGATCACTGGTGATGAAAGGGGTAAAACCATCACTAACTCAGGGATTTTTCCCACTCGGCTCATTTTAACCTTGCAAACTAGAGCCCTAATGGTGGGGCACTCCTAGCTGGATAAGCAGTGGGAGGCTTGGACAACAGTGCTTTCAATAGCACGCTCTGCAGGTTTGGTTGCTTAAACTTCAGCAGTACCCCAGAATACACTCTGGGGTCCCTAAGCCTTGGCTCTTGTCAAATCATTTAATGTTCTTTGGAATTAAGTAAGCAGGATTCATCCAGGGAGAGAGTATGCATTCCATTCCAGACATGGGGAAGGCATTCAATGTTTAGGTGTCAGACGTCTGGCTGGCCAAAAAAAAACAAATAACAATCCTTCCATTTGATATAGTGCCTTATCACGTTGTTCAAATGTCTCCAAGAATTTTACAGGATTTTATTGTGACTGTGTATTTATAGATGAACCATATCCTCCTACAGAAAGAAAAAAAAGTCGAAAACAATGAGATGTCAAAAATTTACATTTACATCGCAATTTGTAAGAATCCAATAAGATATTCGCTAAATTTACCCCGAACAAAGCAAAATAGGCTTGAACCCAATAACATATTTTTTACACAGAACACAAGTAGAGGAATAACTCTCATTGTTGCCATTTTGACAAAGACCTATTACGGATCGATTTTGGGTGTGCCTCATTTGACACAAGTATATTTATTTCAGCACCTGCTGAGAGATTTATGATGACTGTCACGCCCACTATTTTTCTCTTCAGGGGAATTTTAAATAGCATAGGGAATTGTGAATAGCAGTTTTAACTAAAAAGTTACTTCAGATGGAACAATGATTATTTTGGAAGAAACTACAGTTTTTTTATGTCAGTGTCTTAAATGCAAACATTGGCATTGGACGTTTGCTTCTCTATATATTTAGTTTGCATATGTCAGGGCAGCTGCGTTAGAAACAATATTAATGTGGACCAGATATCAACCCCGTCACATTGGCTATATCTCATTTGCTCACCATGTGGTTTTCTCTCAAGCTCTTTACTCACCATGGTCCTGTCATATTATTATTCTGTGCTGGCCTCATTCCGTTTCTGACTTGTCTGCCAGTAGCCTTTTCTATTACCATTCACTGAATGTGTTGACCTCTCCCTCATTGCACTTCCAATCAGCTTCTCTGGTTAGTTTTCCATAGTGTCTCCCAATAAAACAAGAGAGATGTTAAACCCAGAATAGAAATGAAAACTAGTAATAGACAGGGAGATGCACAAATTTTAAACATAATGCATTAATGGCAGTAAACAAACACAAAGAAAGAAAAGTTGACTTTTGTTGACTCTTAAGCTAGGAAAAGTAATAAACAATGAGGAGGATAGTAGCAAACTGCAGATGGATATAGACAGACTGGTAAAATGGGCAAACACGTGGCAGATGAAGTTTAATGTGGAGAAATGCAAAGTGATGCATTTTAGGAGGAAGAATGAGAAGAAGCAATATAAGCTGATGGTACAATCTTAAAGGGGGTGAAGGAACAGCGAGACCTGGGGGTTCATATAAGTAAACCTTTGAAGGTGGCAGGACAGGTAGATAAAGCTGTTAAAAAAGCATACGGGATACTAGGCTTTATAAATAGAGGCATAGAATACAAAAGTCAGGTGTAAAGGAGTTATGATGAACCTTTATAAAACACTGGTTAGGCCTCAGCTAGAGTACCATGTTCAGTTGTGAGCACCAAACTTTAGGAAGGATGTCAAGTCATTGGAGAGGGTGTAAAGGAGATTTACCAGGATGGTACCAGGAAAGAGGGACCTCAGTTATCAGGAGAGGCTAGAGAAGCTAGGATTATTATCCGTGGAGCAAAGAAGGTTAACAGGAGACTTAATAGAAGTTTTCAAAATTATGAGGGGATTCAATAGGGTGAATAAGGAGAAATTATTTTCACTGGCAGGTGGGTTGGTAACCTGAGGACCCCAATTTAAAATAGTTGTTAAAAGAAACAGAGGAGAGGTGAGGAGAAATTTTTTTGCACAGCAAGTTGTTCACACCTGGAATGCATTGCCTGAAAGGGTGGTGAAAGCCAATTCGATAAAAACTTTTAAGAGAGAAGTAGATAGTTATTTGGGAAGGTCAAGTTTGCAGGGCTATGGGAAGAGAGCGGGAGAGTGGGATTGAATTGGATAGCTCTTTTCAAAGAGCCGGCACAGACATGATGGGCCGGTTGGCTACATATTTCTATGATTCTATGATTGTCTCTACAGTTGTTTTTCACTCTAAAATGTGTAACGCATGTTGTTTGGATACAAGGCAGCACAGCATGGTATACGTAGGCAATGCCTGTGAATATGAGTTTTTGAGGGAGTGATTCAATAGCCCTGAGAAGCAGCTGAGAGCTGGTGTTGGACACATGTACATTGCTAGGTACATGGATGGTGAAGGTGGCCAGAGCTTCCCTGAAAACATGTGCAGGGATGGATATCTGTGTTAGTGGTGAATACATCACATTGGGAAGATTCATCAGTGTGTTCATCTAGGTGAGCATAGATGATTTTTTTTGGTGTAATTATTGTAGTGATAATATCCGGTTGGTCTGTAAGAAAGAAATCTATTTGAGAGCAACCTATATTGTTTTTTCTCTTCAACCATGCTTACAGTCACTTCCCCTCTCCCACCTGCTCGGCGTCAGGCTTTGCCACTGTTAAGCGCTTTGAGATGCTACACTGCATGAAGGTCGCAATACAAATGCAAATTGTTGTTCTGGTTGTTGTTGATAGGAGGTGCATATGTTACACTATAAGCTATAACAGTTGTACAAGGGATCTGACCGTCTACTCTCTTGTATCCCAGCACAAAGTGAGAAGTTTGAATTCCAAACAAATAGTATCTTGTTTTATATATGCATGACAATATGATTGCGCGAGATTACATTTCAAGTTTTTCACTGTTGTTCATCGTAGAATTTACTGAACCTAAGGGTAGAATTATTTGCGTTTCTTCAAAGGAATAAAGCTTACCTCTTCAGCAATCCAGTTTGTTTAAGTGTCTTTTATGCTGTTAAAGTCTATACTCAACTGCTGGAGTACAAATAAACCTGGTTTTGAATGGATCAGTCTAGTGTTTGATTGGGATATCCAGAAATGTCTAAAATATAAACCAGATGCCTAGAGACTATTGAAAACAACAATCTGCTTTTTCCCAGCATTGCAGGTCCTGGTGCCATCTTAGTATTATGTCTTTATGCAGATGGTAATGAAGCTTCATCTGATCTTTTGACATCCTATGGTTCTGCGGTCTGCAATTGAATGTCATAGACCCAATAGGCCTAATGTTTCAACTGGTCTTACAGACTAAGACTGGGTGGAACTCCAAACCTTAGGTGATTCAACTCTGGATAAGGAGTAATCTTCAGGAAAATAAAATATCAGATGATTTTTTTCAAATAGAAGATCCAGCGTTAAGAAAGACATAGAACAGAACACTGGAGAGTTATTTTGGGAGTGGTGTTGGGAGAATCTTGGATAGTTGCCAAGCTCTTGCCAGCCAATGTCGATGTGAGTGAAGATGGATTTTGTTCAGTTGCCTTTGCTTTTGAAACAGGAACAGCGCACAAAGCTATGAGTCTACAGGATGCCCACTTTACAGCATGATTCATTCGCACACAACACTTAGTATAAGATGTTGTTGGCTATTCCAGTCTGTGGATAATTGTGATTCACTGTGTCGGAATGGAGGAAAACTCTTGAATTCAATCATCCGAACTGTGCAATCTATTTCCCTGTGTTATTA